AGCCATATCAGTTTGGCACCACACATGAAGGCAAACGTTTCATTGCATGAAACTCAGCAGTCCGGCGTGCTGACGTTCGATACACTTCGTACCCCAAAGCTTTGGTGAAGTTGCAAAATCTAAGCTAGCTGAATACACGGGGGGGGGGGCTGCTATTCGTGTCGTGCTGCTAAAGGTGCCTTTATTGATGCACGTCAGACGGTGTGGTGTGCACCTGTCCAAAATTCCAAGCGGAACATACAAGTCTGTTCTATTCAGCCGCGAGTCCACCTGAGGTGACATATATCGACGAGTGTCATGTCGGCGTTGATGGCGGCACTACCCTCCGCACCCGCTGACTCGTATGAACACAGGCGGCACTACCCTCCGCAGTCGCTGACTCGTATGAACACAGGCGGCACTACCCTCCGCAGTCGCTGACTCGTATAGACACAAGCGGCACTATCCTTCGCAGTCGCTGACTCGTATGGATACAGGCGGCACTATCCTCCGCAGCCACTGACTCGTATGGACATAGGCGGCACTACCCTCCGCAGTCGCTGACTCGTATGGACACGGGCGGCACTACCGCAGCCGCTGACTTGTATGGACACAGGCGGCACTATCCTCCGCAGCCGCTGACTCGTATGGACACAAGCGGCACTACCCTCCGCAGCCGCTGACTTGTATGGACACAGGCGGCACTATCCTCCGCAGCCGCTGACTCGTATGGACACAGGCGGTCGTGACGCTGTGGTGGATTTCATGCACAAGCGACAAAGCATGTCATGCTGGGTGTCGTGGTAATGTCGCAGGATTTTTCTTTCGTGCGGGATTTCCATAACTTTTTCTCCGTCTTTCAGATATGTTCACCTATGGTGAGCATACCTGAGATGGCACTGGTTTCTGCGCCGGTGCATCGCTCCTGGTCTGTTGTTGGGTTCTGTGCCGCCTGACCGTAACCAATGGCGGGACCGCTGTGTATTCGCTCGGCCCGCCTGCCCGCCTGGTGCGGCGGGACGGCCCGCTGTCCGCTGACCCCCGCGTTCCGGTTGGACCTAGCCTGGCCGCTGACTCCCGTCCCGGTGAGACCTAGCCTGGCCGCTGACTCCCGTCCCGGTGAGACCTAGCCTGGCCGCTGACTCCCGTCCCGGTGTGACCTAGCCTGGCCGCTGACTCCCGTCCCGGTGAGACCTAGCCTGGCCGCTGACTCCCGTCCCGGTGTGACCTAGCCTGGCCGCTGACTCCCGTCCCGGTGAGACCTAGCCTGGCCGCTGACTCCCGTTCCGGTTGGACCTAGCCTGGCCGCTGACTCCCGTCCCGGTGAGACCAAGCCTGGCCGCTGACTGCCGTCCCAGTGTGACCTAGCCTGCCCTAGCCTGGACGTACAGCAGATGATAAGTCGACTCTGGGAATGTTATTCGTAAAGCTGCTGCGGGGATTTTGCACAAACAGATTGCTCCAGCAAAACTGATATTGCACAGCTAGAAACACATACGTGCCTGGTTACCAACTTTTCCAGGAATTGGTTTCTGGTTCCAGAACCAGGAAAAGCCCATGAACCAGTCTGATCTCAAGCCGAAGGAACTAGTTAGATTCAGGGCACAGTTTTATAGAAAGCCGAAAAATCTGGCAGCAACCAGGATCCAGCTTCACGTTACACTGATCGATCTAGCAAGAACCAGGATCCAGCCTGACAACAAGCCGACAGATCCAAAAATGGCCAGGAACCAACCTGATGCTAGACCAAGAGAGCCAGCAAGACCAAGATCCAGCCTAGCATTATGTCGAATGATCCAGCAGAAACCAATATCCGGCCTGGAATATTCAGAGATCCAGCAAGAAAGAAGATGCAGCTTAGGGTTGAGTTTAGATCCAGCAAGAACCAATGTCTAGGCTGGAGTATTTTCAAAAAGAGACAATGACCAGAATCTTCCTTGAGAGTTTTGTTATCCTCACATTTTCTAGGTTCAGCAAGGTGTTTCGAAGTGGCACAGTTTTTCAAACTAATTTGTGGGAGCAGGGCAAGTGGCTAAGCCCACTCCCAAAATATAGTTATAATGGACTGCATACAAGTTAAACACGTGTGTATGTTGCATGTATGTTCGTCATGTATTTCTCCTCAAAGGTGGCCCACCTTATTCTTAAAATTGGTAAGGTTGGGGCCACCCAACTTAATATGAAACTTTACCCCTGGCGTTCATTACAGGTGATATATGAATGGTATCTAGGCATCCTAACCTTTCCAGAAAGCTGTCCGAAATTTCAGCGTTTCGCTGCAGCCCTGCCCCCAACGACCTCTCGCCAAGATCTCGTGCAGCTTACGGAATAGAACATGGGGAAGGCGCTCGTGTGACCTTGGCCACTTCCCGCATTCACGTAATCTTGGTCAATAAATGATTCAATTTAAGATCTTTGCATCCTTCCATGTATCCGTCCTGCCCAACGTGATTGGATAACGTTGAGCTTAGCCTACAACGCAGACCCTATTTCATAACCTCGGCCGGATGTTTTCGGATAACCGTTGAAAATAGCCGGCATGCAGATAATCTTATGGAGTTGAGAAAATCGTAATCATAACGATTAAGAAGTATAGTATGAAGTATGATTATCTAGAAGAGAAATAAGCGTGAAACTATTGCGGTTATGTCACTTGACCTTGCCACATAACGTTTTGTTTACATTTGCTCCGCGGATGCTCCTTGGGCATCTGAATGGAAGACCAAAGATCAGCTGATCCGAACTTTTTTATGTAGCCTGGCGGCACCATCCTGATCCCGCCACGAATATATATATATATATATATATATATATATATATATATATGGGACTTACATTTCTGGTGCAATCAAGCGTTAGTCTCTAGAATGCGAGCATTGCTACATCTTCACTTCGTATTAACAAGAAGAGCATCATTTGATAACAACTTACAAGTTAGACAACCGACGGGAATATCAACGCAAAATATAAATCCCACAGAGATAGGTACTTTTTGTGGACATTTAACAGCATAAGCATGGAAGTGAGTTTGAAAGGCCGATGGTCAGTTTTGGTAACATCTTTCTAGTAAACAGCTATAGGGTTAATGTTGAATTTTTAGAAAGTTGGGATCTCAGTTCCTCCGGTCAATGCAGTAACCGCGCTCAGCTAGGCGCGAAATAAAAGTGCTATCCTTTGACTGCAACCGTGCCAGAGTTTAAACGAGACCCCAGTGATAAGAAATCAAGCAGTGTTTCTGTTACCTTGAACCTAAGCGGGGCATTGCAAGCCGTGTTCCTAATACGGTTACTTAGTCTATCCCAACGCGCCAGGGTAGATAAGCTATCAATACAAATCCAGCTATCGATTTGCATACATATGCAGCCCATTCGTAATATACAATGCATCCTTTTTAGAAAAAAAATACTCGTTTGCTTCTGGACAGGCGTTCAACTTGCGGTTTCAGGGGAGAAGCATGCTTTATTTGAGCATCTTTTTGGTTGCATTTGAATGGCTACGGTGAAATCTGCCTTCTTTTGAGTGTGGCGTGTTTCTGTATTCATATAATCATTCCTACGTATGGAATGCCTTGCTACCATCTAAACAATGCATGTCTGGAGGAAATAAATCGTAGTTTCACGACAGGCATTGCCACATTAAAATACATAAATCATCAGCTTCCTGAGCTCAGGCTATCGAAATAGCATGTTGATGTCCAGTAGCAACATCACACTGTTAAATGCCTGGAGGGGGGGGGGGGGGGCACAGCATGATGATCTTCCAAGTTGTGTCCCCGACAGAATCGTTCTAGCTTTTCATGAACTTATCATTTATTAAATAGTTCTCTACTCAATACCTTTCCCAGTTATGATTATCAAAGAATTCCTATGCATGACAATTTTGTGTGATTTCTAAGTTTCTACTTTTTGTGGTGCGCCAGAAAGAGTTTGCGGCTAACCCAACTTTTGAGGTAAAACAATGAGGCAAGTAAGCAAGGAGGTAAGCAAAACCAATTTTGGAAGATTGGGGCATTTCCGTCCTAAAATTAGACTAGGCGCCCCTGTTATTCTGGAATGATGAGCTGATAGTTTCGGCTGTCGGGTAGTCCCCTGCATGGTGTCGGCAATGACCTTCAACAAGCATCAGAGGTTTATTTCTTCCAATGGGGTTTTGAGAGCATGCTTACAGTTTGGCTCGCCTTTGGAGAGTGACTTTTGTTCACTGTGAAAGCGGAATTAACTGGGTTATCCTGTGCGGCTTGAGGAAATATGTATCCAAGAAAAATGGATCAGAGTCTTATATTTGTGAAATAAGAGCGATAACCGATACCCGAGACCTCATATTATTGAAAGAACCAATGAGAAGCAGAAACTAGACCCATGGTCTGCTACAGAACCGATGGAAACCCGGACTCAGAGATCAGGTTTGCCGAAGCGACCAATGGGAAACAATATTTCAGGGTCTTGTCGGGAGAGGTGTAGTTTTTGTTGAAGGAACCATTGGGAACCAGGAGCCAATGTTGGAAATCAGGCACATGGTTGGGCAGACGACAGCATACGACATTGGTAGAAGTCGTCACTTATGATATTGGCAGCGGTAGTGGTTGTCAAAATAAACCCGTCATTGCTGGGTTGTTGCCACATCCCGTTCCGAAGTATCGGCGGTGATGCTGTCACCTCCCTCACAGGGATTGGCATGCGTTTGGAACTGACGGCCCGTAAATAAAGCAAATCGTTATGACGCATAGCTGCTGCCAAACTATATGGCAGCAGCTTTGACTCGTTGCCTTAGGAAAATGGAGTCATAGTCATAGAAGTCACAGGAAAATGTACGCTGGTAATCGACAGCGTGTCCCGGCCGTTCCCATTGCATAGGATCTCACGTTTTGTCGGACGTGGGTATCGCAAATCGTCTGATGTTACTCCATGCAATGTGCTGATGATTTCTTTGGGGTCGCATGTGTTATCTTCTGGCTCCACCATAGACTACCTATGCCACAATGGACGCATAAGTTGTTCTCAGTACGTTTCCTGAAAGCCAAGGGTGAAAGCCGAACCTTTTCATCTACCTATTTATTTGATTTACCAACCGACTGGGCACCAAAGCAACGGGGTCTGACATATCACTCGTTCAGCAACAATGTAGGTAAATGTTAACACGTTGAACAATTGACAGTTCACCATTTCAATGATCACACAAAGGCTCCTGCTTGCATGTTCTCAACATACGACTATTCACAGCAAAACAACTTGTATATATATCTTTGTACAAACGACATCAGCTGCGTCAGTGCCGTTTGTAAAACACTTCGAAAGGCACAAGAGTGATGCCGTTCTGGCGGTCACAGCGCTGGACATAGGGATTCAGCGAATGCATCCACCAGCCGAGCCCGGACCCGGGTGCCGCCAGTCTACAGGTTTGGGGGCAGTGGGGGCCGCTTCATTCATGCCCAAGGCCCAGGCGGTCTTTCCCACTCGCCGCATGGAAGCGTGGTCCGCTGCCGAATTCAAGACAGCAAACGTCCGGATAGCACCGCTTTTCAAAACCGGGCTTCGTGCGGCCGAACTCTAGCTCACACAGCTCCCGGCACAAATATTGCTCGCCACTTCCCCTGGGCAAAATCGGGGAGGGAAAGCCCTACGTGATATAAACACTGCCGGGAGAATTGTGCCAGGAGACGTGAGCCGATGAGCCATGCCAGCTCTGCGGCAGCGTGTACCAGCCACGCTGCCAATTCCCCTCCCGTCTCAGCCAGCGCGCTGCAGCCCGTCGCCACTCTCCCTCCTGCGTGGCGTGTCGCCGGGCCCTCCCTTGGTCGCGCTGATGTCCTGCTATCAGGGGAACGTTGGCAGCTCTTGCCCCCGCTATCTCTGAGATAGCTGAGGCGAGATGCCCCACATACAAGTGTCGAAAATGACCCTTATCGTATGCGACGCCGGAGCCCCATTCCACGCTCGATTAGCTGGTATTCGAAGCGATCGTGTCGCGGGCACGGCAAATCTGATTTTTGATGCGGCCAAGCACGGTTGGAATACCAGCCAGCGGAATGTGACCGACACGGCCGAGCGGGGAGGGCGGCGGTCGGCGCCGCCGGCGGTCTGCCGATGGGCTCGTGCGCGGCGGGCGCGCCGAGCGCCGACGCCCTGTTTACGAGCGCCTCAGGGGCCCTCCCCGCCCTCTCCGCGCCCCGTCGGGAAATCCGACGGCCATGTTCCGCTCGCCAGCGCGAAAACACTTCGCTATTTACACGTCAGTCATTGCGCTAATTCCTGATCAGCAGACGGCGCCGAGTTGGCCGCGTCGCGGGCCGCCGCCGGGCCGCCGCCGGCGCCCTCGCGCCGACAGCTCGCCGCGCCGGGCGGTGTACCCTTCACTCGGCGCGCGCGGCGGCCGGACGGGGGCGGCGCTATAGGGAGGACGTTTGCTGCGCGTGGCCGCCCATCATCAGGCCGCCGCCGAACGAGCCGTTGCCGAGCGCGCCGCCGAAGGCGCCCGACGCCGCCGGCCCGTTGCACGACTGCAGGTACATGAAGTAGTTGTAGTTCTGCGCGTCGTGGCCGGCGGCGGGCGCGGCGGCGGCGTGGCCGCGCATCTGGCCCCAGTGGCCAAGCAGGTCGGACACCGAGTGCGCGCTGGGCCAGGGCGCGCGCACGGCGCCCATGCAGGCGCTGGGTGAGATGGCGCCTTTCTGCGCCGCTGGCGAGAGCGAGGCCGGCGCCGCCGCGTGGGGCTGGTAAGGGTAGTGCGGGTACATGGCGGCTACCGACGAGTACACGGGGCCCTGGTGCTTGAGGTCGTAGTGCGTGGCGCCCTGCAGGTGCTGCAGCGTGCCGATCTTGTTGCGCAGGATGCGCGAGATGGACGAGACGGAGGGCAGGTTGAACTTGTCGCACACGCCGTCCTGCAGCAGGTGGTCGCGGATCTCCCAGGCGAACATGCCCGGGTCCTTCTGCTTCAGCTCCTTGATGTAGGCCGTCACCTTGGGCGTGGTGACGCGCGGCTTGCTGCCGCCGATGGCGCCCGGCAGGATGCTGCCCGTCTCGTTGTAGCGCGCCAGGATCTTGGAGACGCAGCCGTGCGACACGCGCAGCTGGCGCGAGATGTCGCACGGCCGGATGCCCAGCTGCGCCAGCTCGATGATGCGCAGCCGGATGTGGTTGGGCAGCGGCCGGCCGTTGACGAACATGCCGCCCAGCTGGTTCACCTCGCCGTACTGCTGGATGTTGGGGTCTGCAACAGAGCGGGACGCAGTCAGGCGGGTGTTGGAGGAGAGCGGCAGGGAGGCGGAACAGAGGGCGGGGGGGGGGGGGGGGGCGGTGAGGCGTGGCAGCAAAGCACAAAAGAGCCGCAATAGAGCAGAGTACGGTCAAGGGATCCGCAGCCCAACATAATACGGCGAGACGTTGGGGGCTGGCCGTTTTGCACCGAACCGCACTGAGCCACATTGGACGTGTTCCACAAGTCGGGACGCTTAGCAGTTGGCACAGAAGACGCTAGTTTGACATGAGACGAGCTAGGCGATGAGGCACCAGAGGTATCGATCCGGCGCCGTGTGAATAAAGTCAAAAAGTAGGGCAATGAAGCAAGACGCCTTCCTTAAGCCATGCCAATGGACTCGATCGACGCTTTGGCGAGTTCTCTATCATATGGGAATTTGGCAAACGGAGGTCCACGGATCAAACATTTGAGTGTCAATCTGCAGGTAACATAGGTGGAAAAATGGTTGCCTACTATGGCCAGGCATGGCAATGTCAGTCGACATGCTCGATAAATCTGCGGTTTGGCAGTTGTGAGTAGAGTATTGCGGAACACGCAGTACGTTGGGTGGACATTGGTCGCAATAAGCAGCGCGAGGGCTTGCGTAGCTCGCACGGACCACTCTCATTCAGTTTCAGCCTCGTCGTCTGGTCCTCGACACGACAGTCGGAGGAAGTCACGCTTCTTCTGCGCGCCATGCCGCTTTCTGACAGATTTCCGGCACACCATGGGTCGAACAGTCTTGAGCTCGGCTAGTGGGCTGCAGCCGTCCCATATGTCCACACCGAACAGTTGGCCTCACGCCTTCATCTCGGACGCATCCAAGCCAATCCTATGAACGCCGGTGCGTGACCGTCGGCACCTATCGACCCACACTTTGTCCAGCTTGATTGTCCGTTTTTTCCTTGCTGAGAGCACGTAAGCTCAACCAGCTAGGCTGTTTGACCGCTAATGCCAAGTCATTTATGCAGTGCAGTTTTAGGGGATGCGCTTCTTATTGCTGCAAGCCACATAAGTCTGCGGTCCCTCTTTGCAGGGATGTCAGTTGTAAGAGGGCGCAACGGCCGGGCCCGGCCGGGCCAGCTGCCGAGGGGCCGCGGGGACCGAGGCCGGGGCCGGGACCCGGGCCGGACCTGGGGCTGAGCCGGGCCGGGCCGGGAGCCAGGGGCCGGGGACGGAGGCCGGGGTCGGGACCCGGGCCGGACCTAGGCCTGAGCCAGCCCATACCCGGAGAGCGGGACACGCCGCTGGCGTCCCCACGCCGTTGTAAGCCTGCGATTTACGGATCACCATCGGAACATCACAGCATAACGCTTAATACATTTCCGAGATCGTGAGCCATAGCCATGTCCATCCCTGCCGAGCATGCCCGTGCTTCGTGGAATTTCCGCAGAGCGGAAGCGACAGAATTTATCGACCGCGAACAGCTGCCGACGTGTGCAGTCTTGTTTATTTGAAATGTGCCCAATTTGACCGTTTAAGTACGTCTAATAAACTAATGTCCAGAGCATGTAAGCTGTTGATGTTTGAAATGCGTAGGTTAATTGTCGACATTCCTAATAAGATGTATATCGATTCGAACTAAATATTCCAGCCACACAGCCATCCGTTTGTTTCCTCAGGGAACAGTGGTCGGTGTGGTTGGAGACTCCGGGGTGCGAATATGTTGAAGGGTGGTGCTTTGCGTCTTTTCCAGCGGGCCTCAGCACCCCAGTTTTGATCTCATCATTCCTAATATTTGACCTGAATCAACAAAATGTCGCCTCATACTTCCAATAGAAGGAAGCAGATTCAGCTGTTGGCGGAATTTTGACCTAGATGTCTCATGATGGTTTGACCCAGATGGCCCGTAATGATAAGTAATATAAAATTTCAGTAGTGCCTTTATACCATGAGACCGCTAGAGCGGACAGAAAGTATGGTCGGCTGATAGCGGTCAGATTGGCAGGACATCGGTCACGCAGCTGCCACACGCCACCGCCTCGTCTTTGAGCTGCACTGAGGCATCATTCGGGTCACCAGTTCGATCTTGGGAATACCAAGCGATCAAGCGGAGGCACCTGATAATCGTTTCCTGATAGGCATCTGACATCCACCACCTGTCTAGCCCAGTCGGCGAGCAGTGCAGGCAGGCGCCCGTTCTTCCGGCACAGCACTGGCCTTCCAATGAACCCACGGCTTCAAAGTGTACGTGCTCATGGGAGGGGTTTGGCTCCTCTGTCCAAAACATCTACCTGTCACTGCAATTAGATCAGCTACTGCTTGTGCAGCAAGGAAGATCCGGAGGGAGAGGAAAGGGAGCCGATGACTCTTCATTTGTAAATGGAATTTCTGAAAAGCTGTTTTCCAACGTTGACAACCTTGTGCGGATTCCCCAGCGCTCTGCATCCGAATCAGTCGTCAGGCTTTGCTGCTTATTTCGCCTATCGCGTCACTGAGAGAATCGCCGGGTGCCTAAGGGATGCGAGCCGTGCTTCCAAGGCCGACCTTGACCCTCGTGACATGCGCACGGGGCGTAGCCGAGTCGGCGCGCCGGTCGGTGGTCGTATTCCGTGGTCCTCTTGCCTGTGGCGAATGTCTGTTTACCGCAGCGGCCGGCACCGGCCACACCAGTTGTTTATAGTTCCGAGCCGTGTCCGTCACAGAGCGATCCTAGGAAGCTGCCTCTGACATTCTGTCCGGCCTCGCTGACGTTTGGCTGAGTGACAGGCCGACAGACCGACCCGGGGGTCAGGGACTCGGCCACGGGGGTCGAACCGGGGTCAGGACTCGGTCACGGGGGTCGAACCGGGGGTCAGGACTCGGTCACGGGGGTCGAACCGGGGGTCAGGACTCGGTCACGGGGGTCGAACCGGAGGTTAGGGACTCGGTCACGGGGGTCGAACCGGGGGTCAGGGACTCGGTCGCGGGAGTCGAACCGGGGGTCAGGGACTCGGTCACGGGGGTCGAACCGGGGGTTAGGGACTCGTTTATGGAGGTTGGCCCAGGGGTCAGGGGTTCGGCCACGGGGGTCGACCCGGGGTTCAAGCATTCAGACACGGAGGTCGGCCCGGGGGTCAGGAGTTCAGCTACAAGGGTCAGGGGCTCGGTCACGAGGGTCGAACCGGGGCTCAGGGACTCGGTCACAGGGGGCGACACAGGGGTAACAGGCTCAGTCACGAGGGTGGAGGTCACGAAGTGAGTACATCTCCTTTCACTTGCAATGGGCTTTCTCTGTCTGCACTTTATATATCACTGGGATTGCAACCGTCGATAATCATGCGATCGTCTGAATTAAACAAGCTTGTGGCGTTACTAACAAGCTCAGAAATGCTACTTTTAAAAAGTAAAACCAACACCGTGGGATTCTAAGACGGGAAGTGGACGCCATTCTATCTGGTTTGAAGATCACAGCATGCATTTCTTCGCAACCGCACCTCGTGATCAATCAAGGGCAGGCGGGCAGCGCGGGTCTGCCTGACCGGGCCTCCTGCCAGCGGTCTGGTCCCAGACCTGGCTGACCGGGCCCCTTCCCAACGGTCTGGTCCCAGACCTGCCAGACCGTGCCTCCCGCTAGTGGTCTGGTCTTGGACCTGGCTGACCACGGCCCCGCTGCCGGTCCGGGGCCGTGGCTCTCTGACCACCGGACCCAGGGAAGGACCCTCTGACCACCGGACCCAGGGAAGGGCCCTCTGACCGCCGGACCCAAGGAAGGGCCCTCTGACCACCGGACCCAGGGAAAGGCTCCCTGATCGCCGGACCCAGGGAAGGACCCTCTGACCACCGGACCCAAGGAAGGGCCCTCTGACCGCCGGACCCAAGGAAGGGCCCTCTGACCGCCGGACCCAGGGAAGGGTCCTTTGACCGCCTGGACCCAGGGAAGGGCCGTCTGCCGGGCGAACCGATGCTGCCGCCTCGGTACCGCGCCAGGGAGACCACCATCGCCCCCCGCCCTCCGCCGACACCGCCAGACCTACCGCTGTCCGCCGTACCCACCGTATCCGCCGGCGGGCGGCAGCGGTTCCGATCCATCCGACCGCCTCCCGGGGGGAGGGGGCCGGCGGCGACCACAAAGGGAGCGCGGCGCCGCCGCCGGGCCGCTATTCATCCCCGGCGAGACGTTCTGCTGTGTGTCACGCCCCGACGCTGAGTGTAAATATTGCAGAGGCGCGCGTGATATACGCGATAGCGGGCCAGACTAGCAGCGGCGGGACCGGCCGCAGCCGCCCGGCCCGGAGATAGCCGGCAGGACGGCAGGGCCGCGCGGCCGGCAGGCGCCGGCGCCGGCGGCCGCGCTCGCCGTCCCGGGACCCGAGGACCGCGCCGCCACGGCCAGGACGCGGCAGTCGCTCAGCGACTTGGCCTGCAGGGCCGCGGGGAAGGAGCGAGACCGGGCGACTCAGCGGCGTGACGGTCTCAGTCTCAGTCTCAGTCTCAGTCTCAGTCTCGGCCAGCGGCCCACAAAGCTGTGCTCGCCGCCGAGGCTCTGTGACAGAGCAGGTGGGGTGGCGATCGAGCTGCTGCAGCGCGGCCAGACGAGCGGAGACGAACCAGGTCCCTGCCATGTCGGCTGCAGGCATGCAGTGCCTGCACGCTGACCAGGTATACGACTTGTGTATGACACGCCGGTAGTGCCAGTCAGTTAGAGTGGGCACATTGCGCATGACGCACACTGTAGTCGTTCATCCACTGCGCAATGTGCACTCTGACATATGCGAAGTGATGCATGATGCGTGACAGGGGCGTGCCACTTAAGTAGCTCCCAGAGAAAGGCTTCCCTCCTCCGCACCAAATTTATGGAATGCGTTAATGTGTACGTTGCCAAATGTCGCCAGTAAAAAATTCCAGTGACGTAAGAAGACCGAAAACACGCGGCTGCCTTCTCCGGCGCGCAAGAAATTGCCGCTCCTGGGGCGCGCTTGACTCGGTTTTACGTAAAACACTTTGTGTCGCGCCCTCCCCAATGCGAAATCCTGCGTGCGCCCCTGATACGT